CTTCTTACTTGCCATGCATCTTGCCAGACTGTCAAGATGCCGTTAATTGATATTTCCAGGCTTTGTGGAAGCACAACTGGATTATCTTCTGCAGAAGTTGAAATAGAGTAAAAATAGAGATCTCTTCTTTTCGCATGCCTTTAAAGGGGTGGTGGCATTACTGTGTTTATTGCAGGGATCCCGAAGTAACAACAGACAGCAATGCAGGCAGATGTTATGTTGCCAGGCAAGATAGCACAACATTTTTCATTTTATTGACAAATCATTCATATCTGGACTGATGGATTCATGGCTATCGTTGAACAGTAGCACTGTGTTAAAGGTTGCAGAATGCTTTAATGTCAGGTAATCAGAGATTTCCTAGCCCTCTGCAAATGGACTTTGTTAAAGGTCTTCTGCAGGAAGATGTATCTTGGAATGCTTCTTACTGGTCCGAAGAGGAAATACTGCGCTCCGCGTCAGGGACTTGAACTTTGACTTTCTGCCCTATTCCATCTCACAGATGGTTAAGGTATTTCTCATTGATAGGAAGAATCCTCAGGGAAGATACTGATTTTCAACCTCAGTGCTGATTGTGGTCCAGCATTGGTCAAGACAGCTTTTAATATAGACTCATAGAATCATTATGGTCGGAAGAGACCTCAAAGATCATCAAGTCCAACCGTATACCCGATGCCACCATGCCTACTAAACCCACTAAACCATGTCTTGAAGCGCCACGTCTAAACGTTTTTTGAACACCTCCAGGGAAAATATATATGCTTATGAGATAAACCCTTCAGCTCAACTCTGTCATATTGTATACTGTATGATATAAAATCTAGAAGAAACTTGGCAGAAATATGTTCTGGCAGAGGTAATTGATTAGTTCAAGTCCAGAACATTATGAAAGAAAGCAGGTAAATCGCTGCTGTACTCAAAGTAATGGAAACATGGAAAAGGTTTTTGCTTTGGATTGCCCAGCCTAGTGACCTTTAGAAACCCTGATCTTTTGACTCTTCTGAATATCATGGTGATCAGTGGTTTGGACCTAGTACACTCTCCTGTCCCATAATTGGTCCTTGCTAGCAGCTCACCATAATGTTAGCTGGCTCAGTAGAACCCCTTTCTGAGTCTTTAGTTACGTTATTTTTAACAATATTTGTATAGTTGCTATTGCATTGGTATCCATAACTTGAGCTTAAGTGAAGTACAACATCTAGGACTTCTGTTTACTGGGCAAGAAGCTACAGAGACTGGTGAAGAACTCCTCGTGGAAAGGAAGAGCTGAGAGGGTGAGGGATGAGACTGAGAACTACGGTGGAGCGGCTGGATGGCAATGGGGAAGGGGTGAGAAAGGCTGAGGGAAGCGGGAAGCTGGCAGATGGCAGCGAAGGCTGGAAAGGTAGGGAGTGTTTTATCGGAGAGCAGGAAGGCACAGTGGTCATTGTGGAGAAATACTGTGATAGACTTAGTTGACCTGTCTTCTGTGGTGTCCTAGATTCATGTTGTGCTGTAAACGATGACGTGCAATACTGCTCAATAGACTTTTTTTTAATAGTGGATCTTTTCTATTCAGTTTTCTACAGCTTTTTTTAAGTCAAAATTAACACGATTAGCATTTTTCAACAAATAATCTTAGGTTCCATCCTCATTCAGTACAGAGAAAGGAGAAGTCCTTGCTCTGAACTCTTGGAGGAACCTGCTTCCCGTTACCTGTAGAAGGAGCCTGGCCAGACCAGTCTTACAAGGCTTCAGTTAGCTTCTCTGAATGTCCCCTTTTAGTGACAGAACTAAAGTTAAACTTTTATAGTCACCATGTTCAAATATTCCTGTACTGCAGATAGGTGTCTTAAACATACAAAGTCCTTCAATTTTGCCAGCTTCTCTAAAGAATTTGAAAAGGCATCCTAAAGAATAGTTTCACATTTAAATATAACTTAAGCATGAATGGATCTAGTCTGTTCTACTTCAACTTACCTATGTAGAAGCAGTTATTAGGAGAATGTGAGAATGAATTTAATTAATTTGAAGTACTCGTAAGAATTTCGTGGAGTTGGAGCCTGGTCTACTGGACTCTGAACTGACTTACAATACCAGAATGAGTAGTGCTAGAAATATGAAATGCCAGCTGAGCGCTCAGTAGTTATCACAGAAGCAATTACTAGAGAAGTTGTAAAGAAACCAGCTGAGAATTTAAGTCCATTTCAATACCTGTATGTGTGCAATTTTGATATTTCCATCTCAAAAAGCATATAACAGAACTAGAAACTTAAAGGGTGGAATGGGTTATGTATGTGAGACAGTATTCAGCCTGAAAAATATGACAAAGGGGATGGTTGGGAATGGGGAAGTAAGAATGAGAGAGGTTTGCGAAATTTGAGATGTGTGAAAAATGTAAATTGGGAGCTGATTGTCTCTCCTAGTACAAGAGCTGAGGGCATCGAAAGAAGTAACTGTGAGAAATAGTAAAATGTGGAGCTCTTGGCTACAGAACATTGTGGATGTTAGATGTTTGTGGAATTACAACAATGTTGGACAAACGGATGGAAGAACAAGCTATCAGAGGTCATTATATAAAAAAGAACTCACTTCTGGCTCAGAAGATCCCTGAGCACAAATTAGCAGGGGCCGAGAGTGTTACAGGAAGGTACCGTTGTATGCATACCCTTTTTAAAATTCTTTGCTAACCACTTGGTTTAACCACTAACCACTGTCTTGGACAAAATGAGGGGTTATACGTATTTGCCTCTAATCCAATATGGTTGCTTCTGTGTTCAGTGTTGTATTTCTTTAAAAGTAATGTCAAAAAGGGAAAGATGGGTAGTAACTCAGCAGTCTAACGTAGCTGTTGAGCTACTGCTGCTGTAACGGAAGACAGCTGTTAGATTTCCTCCTAAATCCTTTTTTCTGCAGACTAAACGAGCCCAGTTATCTTAGTCTTTCTTCACGTGTTGTATGCTGCAGCCCTCTGGCTGTCTTAGTACCCCGTCGTGGGATTCTCACATACGTGCTGATAGCTCAGATGGAGGACTGAAGCCAGACATGGTATTGTGGGCTCAAAATTGCAGAGTAGAGGAGACTGATCTTTTCCCCTGGTCTCCTGCCCGTGCGATCCCCTGCGTGGTAACAGTTTGTCGCTGCAAGGATGCGTTGCTGCCTCTTGTTCAGCCTGTCCATCAGGATCCCCAAGTTCTTTCTGTCAGGTTGCCACCTAGACAGTTGGTCCCCAGCTTCTGTTGATGTATAGGATTATATTCCAGACCAGGTGTTAAGATACTGCGTTTCTCTTTGTTGAACTTCAGGAGGTTTGTGTCAAGCCATTTCTCCGACTTTTTGAGATCCTTTTGAAAGGCAGCCCTGCCATTTAATGCATCAGTTGCCCTCAGTCACCTCCCATTTGGTGTCATCCACAGTCTTGCTAAAGGTGCGGTCTGTCCTGTTATCCAAGCCATTGATGAAGACAGTAAACCATATGAAGCTTTGCTGAATGCCACCCATAACTGGCTGCTGGGTAGGCGTTGAATCATTAGCTACTAACTTTGCGCATGATGATCTAACCAGTTCTTGGCTTGCCTTGTAGCCCACCTGTCTGCCTTTGAGAACCTGCTCCTTCTCCCATCTTGATCTTTTGGAAGCTCCTTATCATATTGGGGCTGGGTGGTCGTCGGGGCGAAGCTAAACCGTTTCCTGCCAGTCTTGGGAGTTTAAAAAGTGCCATAACTGGAGATGTTTTCTCCTGTTACAGAGACTGCAGGATACATAATGGGTGGACTCAGATGCTCTAGCCACTTTAGTGACAAAAAGAGGAACTGGTGGTTAAGATTTCATCTGGCAAAGGTTCTTTGTTGTGAAATGCTGCGATGGGAATTGCTCTTGAAGAACGGGACCTTCCTGTTACTGAGCTGTGAAGTATTCCTTGCCGGTCCCTGGTTCGGGGTGGATGCTGTGTCATCTGTTGGTCTGCAATTTGTGAAAGACAACTTGCCTGGAAATTTTTAATCGTAGTTTTTCATTTTGAGAAAAATTTTGAAGACGACACTGTCCTCTGTGAGGTGTTTGTGGGAGAATTGCAGGGGCTTAAATTTTCACATTTTACCTGGGTTTGCAGGAAGGATTGTAGACTCCCTTGTGAAATCTTTCGTAAGTTGTTCTTGGGATAATGGTATAAAGCTCCGTGAGCAGTTGCGTGCTGTACGGCGTACAAGGCGGCAGTAGTGTTAGATACATGGAGATCTGCAACAGCATAAAGAGCGTGGGCAGAAAGAGCTCACCAGTGTCTTCCTG